CTGGCAAATAAAGACAAGTTAATAGACAAGATCCACTGGATCTTAGATAATCTCTTCCCCGAGTAATTCCATCCAGCTTGCGGGGAGCCGTGTCGCCAGCCCACGCGCGGCGCTGGAGCATCACCCAAGCCACTTAGCGCGCCGCTGATGCGGGCACACCGGGGTGGGACCCCGAAGGGTACCGACCTCAGCCACGGGGAGGGGCGCCCCGGGGTGCAGCGATGTGATGCTGTGCAAAGCATCGCTACAGCTAGGCATCACGAATGCAGCCAGGGGCTCGGAGGCAGCGTGCTGTGTCTGGAAATAAAGCAAAAATAACCCCTCAATGACCTAAAGGAAAAGCTGGGTGTTTCTTGAAAAAAAAATAAAAAATATATAAAAATACATAAAAGTAAAAAAAAATAAATAATAGAGCTTTTGGTAAAGGGTCTGTTGTCCCTTCCCTCTCGCTTGGGTGCCACCTCACCTGCCTGTCTCCGGCCGGGGAGATTCCCACAGAAAAGTAATCGGTCCAAAAATCTATTTTTAACCACCACAATAGCAGAGCCTCCCAAGAGGAGCGGCCGAAGCCCTGTCCCCAACCAAGCAATCTCACATTTCCCTCGCTAAGCCTAGATTTCCTTCCTCCCCTCAGCCCACAACAAAACCCTCCTCCTCCTCCTCCTTCTCCTCTCCGCTTCCCATCCTTGTAAAACTATTTGCACATCCACCTCCGGGCTGGACCGCTGCTGGTGCCACGTGGCAACGGGGTGCACAGTGTCACGCACATGTGTTATATATTAACCTGGTACCTGGGGGCAGACCCTTCCAGACTCAGACATGCCAAATAACAGGTGATTTAGCTGCTCACTCACCATCCCTGGATGTACCTGAAACTCAGGATTTAAAGAAAAAAGCCCCACAATGTAAAATCAACTACAGCTCCCACAAGTGCAAACTCCTTTGAAAAAAGGAGAGTCTCGCCCTGTAGATTGCTATGCCATTAAGGGGCTCCTCGGGTGTTTTTTGGGGAGTGAGCTGCGTGGGTCAGCAGTGCAGGATGCTCAGCAAAGCGCATCCCGATGTGGTACGGCACAGCCATTGCCGTGTGCCTCCGTCCCGGCTCGCCGCTGGGGAACCCCTCTTCGTTAGGGCAGAGAAGCTCCCGAGATTGTTTTTCAATTACAGCACATAATAAACATGGGATAAAGTAACATAGGCCCGTACAACATTTTCTTACTATGGTGTTTGGTTTTGTTTTGTTTGGTTTTTTTTTTTTACTTTACAGATCTAATTCCCCACACGCATCCCTGTCTCATACCCGCCTGCAAACACCGTTAAACTGCTGCCTAATGGTATCTGAGCTTGGGAAATTCAATTCTACCCAGCGCCTTACTCAGGACCACTACAATTGCTGCTAATTGCTTAAGTGGTATATTAAGCAAAACAACTCATAAAAATTCCAGTGGGCTTTGAATACACACACGCCCCCCCCACACCCACACC